GTAACCATTCTTGGGTGGCGCGAACTTAGTGCGATGGTGCTGAGTCCTGTTGGAATGTCCAAGGTCTGCGGCCAAAATATTTACGGGCAAAAGGCTTTAATACACCGTCCAGAATACTTTCGTGATAATATTCGACATTTATTCAGATGCCACGGTCAATTAATACGAGCGGAGAGCGACCATCGGCTGTTATGGCGGCCCACACCATCACCATGGCCGGCGCATGAGTTCTGGTGGCCAACCGAAGATGCACATTTTCAGGTGACCCTTTGGCAAGTAAACACGATCATTTTGTTTGTTTACAAACTGCTGGCAACGAATGTTTTTTCATCGGAGAAAACCAAATTCGGCAGTTCACCACTTTCGGCCAAGCGAAGCAAATCTTTAGCTCTTTTGAGTCTATTTTCTTTCTGCTGAAATAAGTTCTTGCACTTTTTGGAATTTCAATGGCTTTACCCCGAGATCATTTTTCAATATTTGTCGAATGGAATATTGCGATATGTTCAGCTCACGAGCCACTTTACGGCCACTGCGACACGGACTTCGATAAAGTCGCTTCTTTACTTTTCGAACCATTTCTGCTGATGTTGCTGTTCTTTGACGTCGGTCTACGCTACCAGTATCACGGTAACGATAGCCACTTGTGGTATACCAGCCAAATATAAGGAAATCACACTATCACGCTTGATTTCCATCACAAGTAAAAATACTTTTGTACGCTTGTAAACAATGTAATAAGCTGTCACTGGAATTATTTTAAGAGCTGTCGAACGAGGAGGAGCTAGATCAGATCGCGATAAAATTTGACAGAGGTATTTGTGGGCTGAATCTGATATCTGGTACCAAATATCATTCTTGTGGAGTGCTTATTACGAATGTGAGCGACTTAAACATCATATCGGATGAAACATGTGTATGGAAGCTATATCTGAAGCGATTTCCACCAAATTTGATGTATTTGCTTCTCGGTCGCATGTGCCAAAAATCGGGCCATTTAGACTGATATTGGCCATTTGGTGCACAATTAACCCGAAATCGGTTGAAGATGTATGTGGGAGCTATATCTAAATTTGAACCGATTTTCACCAGTTTTTAGGGTTTGTCCTTTGTCCTTGGTCCAAGGAAAAAAATGTCGTCTCAATCGGATAATAAATGTGACATGCATTTTGTCCAAAAAAAAAAAAAAAATACATGGACGGCCGACAGACGGACTGACATGCTTAACCCGACTCAGAAAGTGATTCTATGAAGATCCTCAAAAGTAACTATAGGTCGATCTCGCTTCCCTTTCCATGTTACACACAAATGCACAAATGCATAATACATTACCACTATGTGGCGTGGGAAATAAAAGTTCGTATCGAAGATTTCTATTTGAAATCAGCTGTAATTTGATCTGTCGGGTCTTTTGTGGGTACGTAAACTCCTCTTAAAAAATATTTGTTTGTCCAGTATCAATAGATGACACAAGGCAATCTACATAATGCAATGACTAAAATATTTTATCAGTTGCAATTTTGCAATCAAGCCTTTTACCAGTGAATGACTTTGTATTAATAATTATATTAGCTAGCAGATCAAGTATGTTTACCTTGAAAAATTCATTTATTCGTCGTTACATAGAGTCCGGAGATGACAGATTCACTGACATTGAATTTATTGGAGAAAATATTTAAAACTAAAAAAAATTTTCTATGTCTTTTAAAAGACGCAAGTCAAAGCTCCAGTGTTTTAGGTTAAATTTTTCCTTAAGAAACCAAAACTTCTTATTGATTATAAAATTCTGCTTGTATAATTGTCATATAGGGGTCAAATACCCCTGCTCTTCATTGCTATATTCCGTTCTTCACCTATAGCTCCAAACACCCATCATCACACACTGGGATGTCATCAGAACCATTCATATTGTCACCTTAATGCAACATGACGATGAAGAAAAACAGAAACGATTGTTGCCATCCGTATTTTGTGGAGGCTGTCACAAACAAACTATGACAACAATTGTGCAAAAAAAAAAAAAACAAACCCGCCGACAACACCAACAATTATTTTATTTAAATATGCACATTTTTTAAATTAATTAAATTTAAATAGAAAAATATATGCACCCCACATTCTTTGCAGAGAATTCATTTAGTTCATAATTTCCTACACATTGTTTTTTCCGTTTTTTTGAAATTGTATTTTGTCGACGGCTCTCCCTCCATGGTGTCTAAAAAAGAGAATAGCATTTGTTGGGCAGGAATTCAAGGCGCGTAGGATTTTGTTTTGCAATTGGAATCATAGATTCAGCATGTTTCGCCAAACTTCTGATGGTGGAATTTATGCAGACGGTCTTTTTGAGCTCTTAATTTAGATTTTCTTTTTTTATAATAGAAATATTTCAAATTTTTTTATTAGAGCGAAAAAATATTTCGCCTCGTCACAAAAACACTACAGAGAATTTCTGATTTCTTAATAAATATATTGAAAATATAAATAAATATATGAAACATCATTCGTCCCGGGGAACATAAAAAAAAATCATTGCCTTTCCAAAAGTACAGGGCCAGATGAAAAAAACTACAACCAACTTCAGACTGCTGTCATTTCTAAGCCACTCGTCCGACAGCTGTTAAAATTATTCCAGTGACAGCTCATTATATTGTTTAGAAGCGTTCAAAAGCATTTTGGTGAGAATTTTCAAAAAAAGTTATTTGTTATGGAATTGGCGTGTTAGTGTGATTTCTTTATATTTAGCTGAAAAACCACAAGTGGCTATCGTTAGGGCACTTCAGCATTTAAATGTGAATAAATCTTTTGTGTCTCGTACCATCGCTCGTTACCGTGATACTGGTAGCGTAGCGCCCGACGTCAAGGAAGTGGACGGAAGAAAACAGCAACATCAGCAGAAATGGTTCGAAAAGTAAAGAAGCGACTTGATCGAAGTCCGCGTCGCAGTGGCCGTAAAGTGGCTCGTGAGCTGAACATATCGCAATATTCCATTCGCAAATATTGAAAAATGAGCTCGGGGAAAAGCCATTGAAATTTCAAAAAGAGCAAGAAGTTACACGGCAGCAGAAAGAAAATAGACTCAAAAGAGCTATAGAGTTGCTTCGCTTGGCCGTGTGAACTGCCGAATTTGTTTTTTTTTTCGATGAGAAAACATTCGTTGTCCAGCAGTTTGTAAACAAACAAAATGATCGTGTTTACTTGCCAAAAAGGTCAGCTGAAAATGTGCACCTACGGTTAGCCACCAGAACTCAAGCGCCGGCCATGATGATAGTGTGGACCGCCATAACAGCCGACGGTCGCTCTCCACTCGTATTAATCGATCGTGACATCAGATTAAATGGCGAATATTATCGCGAAAATATTCTATAGGGTGTATTAAATCCTTGGGCACGCAAACATTTAGACATTCCGACAGGACTCAGCACCATCTGCTGAGGTTCCTCGCTCCATTTCCAGCGCCCAATGACCACCAAAATCTCCATATACCAATCCGTTGGACTATTGTGTCTGGAGTATTTTGGAAAGCAAAGTTGGTACTAAAAAGTACCAAAGTGTCGATCACCTTAAGCAAGCGCTTCGCCGGGAATGGGCCAAAATACCCCAGAGCAACATTCGGTATTTTGACCCATTAAAAATTCGAACAAATCTAAACTTATTCAAAAATTTGATGCTATTTCCGACATTCTTTGCTTTCATTCAATACAATTTAAAAAAAAAAGTAAAAATTATGGCGTTTGACTTTGTTGCAGTTTTTTATCTCACCCTGTATAATTTATATATTAAGTTTGTCATTCCGTTCGTAAGCCCTCGAAATATACATTTTAGATATATATACTTTATATTCTTGATCAGCATAAAATTCTATGTCGATTTGGTTATGTCCGTCCGTCTGTGGAAATCACTCTAGCCTCCGAAAGAAATGAAGTAGAGGGTAAAATTTTATTCAAGTGTATATTATGTCTGCAGGACTTTTGGTATTGAAAATGGACCATGTTGGTCCTCGTTTTCGAATAGCCCCCCTAAAATGGTACCTCCCTATTTTCGGTATTTTGATGTTTGAAGCGACATTATTAACCGAAATTGTTTCATCTTTGTTATTTGAAGTTCGTAATGGATATTACAGTCTATGAAAGAAAAATTTCTGTGCAGGACCACGTCTTTCTATTGCCCCCATACAATGTTACCTCCCTTTTTCCGGGCTGAACTGTTTCAAATTTCGTATTTAAATCGTTATTTCAGCCTATGACAAAAAATTACTTATGCACCACCACCACGTCTTTGTATATCTTCCATATAAAGGTTTTCATTGGAGGGGTATCTTTCGGCCGTTTTTATTTATTATTATTATAATTTTTTTTTTTTTTTTTGAAAAATTTTAATTTCCTTCCGAATGGTGGAGGGTATAAAAAGTTCGGCCCGACTGAACTTACCAGAAAAGCCCATTGAATTTTGTATCGAAAGACAAGAAGTTATACAGAAAAATAAACATTTGAAAATTCAAGCATACTTTTAGGAAAACCCCAGCTGACAGTTTCCAAAACTTCAAATATGGTACAATAGTTTATTATTCTTTCAAAATAATATTAATTCAGATTATTTTTCAAAATAACTTTAATTTTTTTTTTTTTTTTTAAATTTTGTGAAATTAGAAATGTGTACTGTACAGTCCAAGTGCAATTTGAACGAGTTAAGTTAATTTTCATAGAAATGATGATGTAACTCCATGATTTGTCATTTTAGGTGTAATAGGTAAATGCCAATACAGAACTTTTTTTGAGAAATGTTTCGATTTTTTTGTATAAAAGAATGTACATTGTACTTCAGGTGTAATAAGAGCGAATCAAGTAATTTTTTGACGCCAAGATGACATAACTCCATAAAGAGATATATCTGAAGAGTGGTTGGTTATCATGGCAAAAATGATTAACCCACTAAAAATATGTATGTATCTACGTGATATCCCCTTAAATCCCGCACATTATTTTTTATGATAAAATTTAAATTACCTTTTTATGGAGAATTCGTTTTGCTGGTGTTAATTAAAAAAAAATTAAATGTTTTTTATTCAGATTTCTTTTGATGTTTTTTTTTTTTTCTTTCAATTGAGGGAATATAAAGTCGTTTACGTTTTTATTATCTTGAGGTATCAATTAATTATATAGTTTCTTTCATTTAACAAATATTGTTCGTAACAAATTAACACTGGTATTTTTGTAGATTTTTTTGGTTATAGCGTTTAGTTGCACTAATTATCACATTATTTAAAAAAAAAATCCAATCTTTTTGATATTTCCAAAACTAGAATTTTTGTTTTTGAATCCAAAACATTGGATTGGCGTTGTTATCACAGAAAAATGTACTTTTTGAAAAGAAAAAAAATAATATGGAGAGCTTTTTCGATGGGTCTCTACTCCAAGAAGTTTTCTAAAGGACTAATAGTTCAAGAAATGGGGCTCGGTTATTTATGGCAAGAAAATACTAGACATGTTTGGGGACTCAAGGATAGACTCCAACCATATACAGTAGTTGGAGTTCGAAAATGAGACAGATAGACATACAGGTGGCCCCAATATTGTATCATCGAAAAAGGGTTTGACCAAACGGAAATGATTGACCAATCACAGGATATTTTAAAGAGAACTGTAATGGTCACCATGTCCGGTGGCCATAGTAACTTCCCCAACTTTTGTTGGGCTCCGAGACTCCAGTTATAGTTGGGGATGGGGTTTAAATTGGAGGAAAGGGGGTAAATTGCAAGACTAACCACAAATGTCCTTAATGTTAGATCGGAAATGGCCTTTTTAGTTTCAGACAGATAAGACAATTACATTTGAGAGGTGGGAGGGTATAGAGCTTCACTCTCTTTGGACCCCCCCCCCCCCATTTATTTGCTCAACTATGCACATGAGAATTAATAAATAGCGTGGCATTTTGGGGGTTATGTATATACAACAAACGCAATAGAGGGGCACAGACAGGCAGGCCGACACCAACGCCAATGGCAATCCAACACATAAATTGATCATTAAATATTCCATATTCGAAAAACGAAGGCAGCGAGTGACACGCTAAAAAATGAAATAGATAGATAGAAAATACAGGACAATTACATTGCCGCATATTAGGGGAAATCGAATGGACACGAGCTATGCAGAACCATGGCAACCAAAACGAACCAAAAGCTATAATTACATTCGGAGGCCGGGTGGACTGTACAATGCGAGTCCATGAAAAATAACGAACAAAAAATCAGCCTTCACAAAATATACACATCAGCGACAAAATAGGCCTTAAATGGGGGGCGTTTTAACGAAATTCAAGGGAACCACACGAAAATGGAGTAGAGAGCCGAAAATGTCCCATTATGGCAAAGAAAGGGCTCGGGGAGGGGGGTTACATCCACAGAGGAAAAACAACACATTTGATAAAATTACATTTTTAATATTGACAAGAAAATTTGTGTATTCACAAAATATCCTTTCTTTCAAGACGAAAATTGCTCCCCATCAGACCAAAAAAGGGACTCTGCTTATTTATTATCCATCCATATGGTAGAGGTCTACCGAATACAAAAAGAAGAAAAAAACTATGAAATTGTTTATTAATTGACCACCAGGTAGGCAGCAATTGTAACTGATTTTCATACAAGATAATTAAGGACATTAATGAAAAGAAGTGTAGCATACTAAGGACTATTAGAGGGAGTTTTAAAGAAAATTATGTTCCAGGAGTCAGACATTTTTGGAAAGAACCACAGGTCTAACTGCGTGAATATTTTGAATAATATTAGTTAAAAATCCAATAAAGATAGCTACGAGTACTTAAAAAACTAAGGTCGTAAAGAACTAGTATTTCTATGAATGTACTTTCAAGGTACAGCAATCAAAATCGGATTTCAAAAAAATCCGCCAAAGAGCTAAAATTGTGGCCTTTGGAACTAATTTATTCAAGGTACCACTCAGATATTACTATGCATTTTCAAAGAATAATTTTCAAGGAGACCCAAGAGTACCAGCCTGGATTTAAAAACCAAATATTTATTTAATATTATGTCAGTATGGACATTATAAAGGATAATTTTCAAGAATCACAATCGTGGTTTTTTAAATAATATTTTTTAAAGAACCAAATCGTCGATAAAAATTATGAACTAGAAAACGTATAATTGCGGATTTATAAAAATCAAGAGCTATCAGGTGTGTAATTGTGTATTTAAAAAAATTCCAATGTAAAATCATGAATTTTTAAAAATACTTATTAAGGAATAATAGATTTGAAACAAAAACAAGCGAAAAAGCGCAGTCAGTTCGACCGGGCCGAACTTTGAATACCCTCCAAAATTTGGAACGAATTTGGAAATTTTAAAAATCCTTAGAAAATTCTGTTAAAATTTTAAAAATACCGAATATAGTCGTTATATTGGGGTCTATACGACGTGGACCTACATAGGCATTGTTTGTCATAAGCCATTATCATATTCAAATTCGAAACTTGAAATAAACGGTGAATAATGTAGCTAGAATTATCAAAATCTCGTATGTAAGGAGGTACCGTTATATCGGAGCTTTTCGAAGACCTGGACCAGCATAGACAATTTTATGTCACAGGCTGTAGCATCCATTACGAACTTCAAATACGACATCTCAAACAATTTCGATGGGTATTGTACCTAAAATCGTCAAAATAACGAATATAGGAAGGACCTGCACAGACAATTTTCTGTCACAGACTGTAGTACCCATTACGAAGTCTAAATAAGTAATTTGAAACTACTCCGGCGAATAATGACGCTAAAATCATCAAAATATCGAATAAAGGGAGATGCCGTTATATGGGGGCTATACGAAGACGTGGACCTGCACGGACAATATTCTGTCATAGGCTGTAGTATCCAATTCGAACTTCAAATAACAAATTTGAAACAATTCCGTTGAAAAATGTCGCTAAAATCATCAAAATACCGAATATCGGGAGGTACCGAAAAATGGCTCGTGCACATATAGCAATATTCCATTCGGCAAATATTGAAATCGAGCTCATAGTAAAGCCATTGAAATTCCAAAAAGTGCAAGAACTTACACCGCAATAGAAAGAAAATAGACTCAAAAGAGCTAAAGAGTTGCTTCGCTTGACCGAAAGTGGTGAACTGACGAATTTGGCTTTCTCCTATGAGAAAATATTCGTTGTCCAGCAGTTTGTAAACAAACAAAACGATAGTGTTTACTTGCCAAAGAGGTCAGCTGAAAATGTGCACCTTCGGTTGGCCATCAGAACTCAAGCGCCGGCCATGGTGTTGGTGTGGGCCGCCATAACAGCCGATGGTCGCTCTCCGCTCGTATTAACCCACCGTGGCATAAGAATGAATGGAGGGTGTACTAAAGCCTTGGACACGCAAACATTTTGGTCGCAGACCTTGGACATTCCAACAGGACTCAGCACCATCGCACTCAGCACGCGCTGCCCAAGAATGGTTACAAAATGAGGATCCTCTCTTCATTTCCAGCGCACAATGACCACCAAATTCTACGGATACCAATCTGTATCTGGAGTATTTTGGAAAGCAAGGTAGGCACTAAAAAATACCAAAGTGTCGATCACCTCAAGTATTTGAATGTTGTAATGGCTTATGACAAAAGTTGCCTATGCTGGTCCACGTCTTCGTATAGACCCCACTATATCGCCTATATTCGGTTAGTAAGATTTTAAAATAATTTTTAACGGGTTCTACTTTTTTGAAATTTTCTAAATTCGTTCCAAATGTCGGAGGGTATACTCTAAGGATTGTCATCTACTAAATCTTCTTAAATGCCGAATTTGAAACAGTTGCGTAGGCAAATGTGACTAGGATTATCAAAATACCGAATATCGGTGGGTATTGTTATATGTGGGCTATAGGAAAACGTGGACCTAAATATTCAATGTTCTGGCACTGGAGCTAGAAACCTTTATGAACTACAAATACCAAATTTTTAGACAAATCCGTGGAAAAATGTGGCAAAAATCATCTAAACATCGAATGTCAGGAGGTACCGTTATATGGGGGCTGTACGAAAACGTGAACCTATACACACTATGTTCCGCCACCGGAGCTAGAACCCAATGACAAAGTTAATGCACCCTCTTTAACAGAAATGTTTCATATGAGTCGCCTAAAAGTATACATTACACATCTAAAGTATATATGGCTCGCCTAAAATTTACACACACACACTTAATGGCAAATGTATCTATAAATTTTTAATGACATTTAAAAAAGGCTGCTTGCAGTACAGTTTCTATTGTCCATCAAGGAAAATTTTGTTCCTTCAAATTAGTGCAACAAAAAAAAGTTAATTCTTAAAAAATTCAAAAAAAATGAGGACTACTTTTTTTTAATTCACATTTAATAACATTTAATAGACGGTATATATGACAGTCAATAGCAAGTAATGTATATTTACTTTGCTAAAGTTTTTGCTGTTGTAATTTTGTTGTTTTCAAACTATATATTTTTTGTTGCTTTTTCAATATTTGCTTTGTAAAATATACACAATTTGTTGACTTTCTCAGGCATTTGTTTAAGTGTTTAGTTACTGTTTTTAGTTGGCTTTTTTTCTAAAAATTCTAAACTAAGCGGTTAGACGCTTGGTCAGTCATCAGATACTCAACAATTTCAGACTTTCACATTTGGTCGGTGTATTTACCCACCCATTTTTATTGTATCATCCGTCCATCCTTGAGTTACTTTACCTACCATCCTTGAGGTTTCCTAGCACTGCAATTATAAATATTAAATGAGAGCGAGAGCAAAAAATAGCGGCGAGGAGGAACAAAAAAAGTATCCTTTAATAGTCTTTTGTGTCATTGTTGGGAACAGTTGGTTGTTGTTCCCCCTATTGGTTAGCCAACAACTATGCTTGCAAATAGGGTCGGCAGTCGTTTAGAAATAGGGATGTCCTTATGTATGTGGTGCCTCGGCGCAAGCATGATAGATGGATAGGTAAAAGAAGAGAGACATCTATAAATTATGTAAAATGCGAAAAGAATCAGCTGATATTGACACAACCAAGTTGTGGAGCGGCGTTGCAAAGAGGCAGTAGTGGAGGCGTATGTGGGGGTATAATTTTATTTTATTTTCTCCCAAGCCCTCCCTCCTCTCCTCTTCTATTTGACTTCATAAACAACTACTGTACTGCTATTATCATCATTTTGTGTCTATTTATTATGTACATAAATTATCATATGTAAATGGCATAAGAGCGGGTGTATGTGCGGGTGGGTTGTATTTTAATTTGCTTATTGCTATGCAAAATGTTTTTCTTTAACCTTCTTAGTTTGAAAGGGTAAATGGGGAATTTTCAATTGCCATCAAGGTACATTGGACTTGTAACTTCTAATAGTAGGCATCACTGGGACAAATATGGACATTGAGGTGCTTTGGCATTATATCTCCTAAAAGT